CATAGGCCATCCATAGCCATCCATAGCTATCCATAAGCCTCCATAGGCCATCCATATCTATCCATAAGCCTCCATAGCGCTCCATAGCCATCCATATGTCCCCATAGGACATCGATAGCCTTCCATTGCCATCCATAGGCCTCGATAGCCGTCCATAACCATCCATAGGCCTCCATAGCGATCCATAGGCCTCCATAGGCCATCCATAGCCATCCATAGCCCTCCATAGCCCTCCATAGCCATCCATAGGCCCCCATAGGTCATCCATAGCCTTCCATAGGCCACCATAGCCATCCATAACCATCCATAGGCCTCCATAGCCGTCCATAGCCATCAATAGGCTTCCATAGGCCATCCAAAGCCCTCCATAGCTAACCATATGCCTCCATAGGCCTCCAAAGCTATCCATAGCCACCGATAGGCCTCCATAGGCCTTCATAGCAATCCATAGGCCTCCATAGGCCTCCATAGCTATCCATAGCCATCCATAGGCCTCCATAGGTCTCCATAGCTATCCATAGGCACTCCATAGCTATCCAAAGTCCTCCATAGCTCTGCGTAGCTATCCATAGGCCCCCATAGGTCATCCATAGCCTTCCATAGGCCACAATAGCTATCCATAGCCATCCATAGGCCTCCATAGCCGTCCATAGATATCCATAGGCCTCCATAGGCCATCCATAGCCCTCCATAGCTATCCATAGGACTGCATAGGCCTCTATAGCTATCCAAAGCTACCGATAGGCCTCCATAGGCCTTCATAGCAATCCATAGGCCTCCATAGCTATCCATAGCCTTCCATAGGCCTCCATAGGCCTCCATAGCCCTCCATAGGCCTCCATAGCCATCCATAGGCCTCCATAGGCCTCCATAGCTATCCATTGGCCTCCATAGGCCATCCATAATAATCCATAGGCCTCCATTACCCTCTATAGCCATCCATAGGTCTCAATAGGCCATCCATAGCCTTCCATAGGCCTCCATAGTCAACCACACCTCTCCATAAACCTCCATAGGCCTCCATAGCGATCCATAGGCGATCCATAGCCTTCCAGAGGCCTCCATAGGCCATCCATAGCCATCCATAGGCCACCATAGGCCTCAATAGCTATTCATAGGCCTCAATAGCTATCCATAGCTATCCATAGGCCTCCATAGGCCTCCATAGCCATCCATTAACCTCCATACGCCATCCTGTACTGGTATAGTCAACATTAAGTAGACATTTCGATACGATGTTACATTAAGTATTAAGTAAGAACTAGAACTAGAGCCTGCGATAGAAGAACGTGGTTCGTACGTTTTGAGGGAGAAATTAAGCACAGTGTTTTACGGCAGTCGTCGGGTTTTAGATCGTTTTGTTAAAATAGTAGAAAGCGAAATAAAGTTTTAGAGTATAAACATCGTTGTGTTAAAATCTTAAGACGATTGTGTGTTGAAGCAAAATCTCCGAGGAACGTATCAAAACAGTAAAACACTCGTGAAGAAAATACGGCATCTGGAAAGAAGCGGACTTTAAAGAAGTTTTGCCAGCCAATACTTGATGAAGTTGCTTGAAGCTAGTTGTTGTATTGACAATAAAGGTAAATACCACATTCGTGATTAAGAATGAGTGTTCAAGAAAAGAAAATAGAGCGAAGTAGAGCCAAAACGGCAGTTACTTTGGCATCAAGACGACTTGTCGGTGCAGCTCACCGAGATGCAGAGTACCAAATATTGAAAGGATTAATGATCGAACTTGAAAAGGTTTATGACGATTTTTGGGTCGTGAATGAAGAGTTTGAATTACTTGTATTGGAAGAAAGTAACGTAGAACATCGTGTAGTTAACGGAGAGAGTATTAATGAATATAGAGACAATGTTAAGCAGTGTTACACTGAGGCTAGAGATGTATTTGTACAACAAAAGATTGCTAACGAACAAATCAGTAAGGATCAAGCTGCACAGCCCGTACGAATCGCCTTAAAGTTAGAAGTGCGAAGAATAAGTGAGTTGCTTGATACAGTAGATAAGAACATTAACTCTGAGAATCCTAATCTTCAAGAATTACAACTTGATAAACAAGATTTACAATCTATGTTAGATCATCTGTGTGGAAGAGTTTCTGAACTTAGTGTACTTGAGTCGTTGCATGCAGAGCAAGATGTTCAGCTACAGACTGAAATTGATAAAGTTATTGGGCAGGTCTTTAAGAAAGTAAGAGCAATAAATTTGTATATTCAAAGTACAAAGAGCACAGAAAGCACCCTCCCAGTCCCTAGTCATGTACACAAGGATAGTTCCATCTCATCAACTGATATAGCTGGCATGGATATACCTACCACAAATAACCATGTACAACCAACCCATACAGTCCCTGTGTCTAATAACTCCAGTGTAATTGATGTTTCTGCACCTGAATTTGTACCCACCTCAAAACCATCTATCATAGATCCTGCAACAAGTAATGCTAGCTTAATGAACAATGATCACCTTGCTAGTACTAGTGCTACTCCTATGGAACCTGTTGGTGTGACCACAGATCCCATTCCACAACTAATTACCACTCTCACACACCAGCATCCAAGTGACCATAACACCCCACCTCAACAGTTTGTACCTATAACCCCCAACCATCAACCAACTTTGGCAAGCCCACCCCTCTACACAAATACCACTACACCCCAACCCCCCACAGCAATTAATGTCAATGCCACCTTTCCTCAGCATCCCCCTACCACCACATTCCACTCAAGTAATACCCCCTATGCTCCCCATAGTGCCACCATGGCCAACCCATATATCCCTATAAATCCCAGTCCTTTCCATCAACAACATCTAAGTACAGTCTCATCATCTCTCAATATGACATCCTATCCCTATACAAATGTACATGTGCCAAGCATGTCTAGTTCATATCAGCTCCCAGTTAGTCTAAACCCTATTGCTACAACCACCAGTCCAGCAGTTCTTTACCCTTCAATGAGTATGACCTATCCCACTCATGGCCTTAGTGGGGTGCATGGTGTTAGCCCTATCGCTGTCACCACTTCCTTCGACACTCCGTCGCCGCCACAGTCACTACCCCGACCTGTTGATCTTGGCCCTCGTGTTCAGGTGAGGAAAATGACTCTCCCAACATTCAACGGTAACAGAAAAGATTGGCCAGAATTCAGAGCAATTTGGAAGTCTGTAGCAGAGACAGCATATCAGAACAAGACAGCATTCGCCCATGAACTGAAGAAATCTGTTAAGGGAGAAGCAAGCAAACGCATAAAGTCAGTGTTCGTCACAAAGCCTGAAGCCTATGATGTTATGTGGCAAAAGTTAGAAAGTTATTACGAAGACGTTGGCGCCAGTGTTAATGCGGCTTTGGACGACTTACACAAGTTAAAAGTAGTATCAGAAGAGGACTACAAAGGCTTAGTGGAATTAGTAGACGAGGTTGAATCTGCATATAACCAACTGGACGAGTTAGAAAATTTGAACATTCTCACACTGCGAGATGTTGACATGATTACGGAACTGTTACCATGTCATTTGAAGGTTGAATGGCGTAGAAAGTACAAAGAGATGACGGCCACAGAGAAAGTACATCCATTTGTTAATTTCATGCAATTTCTGGAACGTGAAAGAGAAGCTGTTGCTCGTATTGCGGAAGTCCAAACAAGAAAGAAAAGTACATGTCGACGACAGTCATTCCATGGAAACAGGCGTGAACCAAAGAAGTACCATAAATGTGCCTACCCGACACATCGAAAGGACACTATCAATCACACAACAGAACAATGCAAAGAGTTTCAGAAACTACCAATTGGCGGCAAAAGTGGGAAGTATGAGATGTTAAAACAGATTGGCGCTTGCTTTAAATGTTTTGGTAACCATCGAAGGCAAGACTGCACCAAAACAGAGCCCTGCGGATGTGGGAGTAGTCAACATCATCAGTTACTTTGTGAAGGCAAGAAGACGAAGGAGAAACCTCCGAGTGAAGAGGAAGAGAAAGTTCAACGGAAAGAAACCCATGTTTCCCAAAGTGATGCACCATCCCTCTACGCTATATACGAAGCAACAGTGTGTGGCAGTAAGAAAACAGCAACTGTGTTCTGTGATGGAGGCTCAAATGCAACCTACATTACCCACCGCGCAGCTCAGAGAATAAGAGCTCGGAAGCTCGGAAAGGTTACCCTAGATGTCACTACAATGGGTAATGTAGAAAAGACACATGTCACTGAACAATATGAATTCACTATACGGACAAACTCGGGTAAGAAGGTTACAATCACAGCATACGGGATGGAACAAATTACAGGACCAGTGAGCAAATTAAATTGTGACATTCTAAAGAAGCTTTTCCCAGAATATGATCTTGAGTCACTACAGAGAAAATCGAGCTATGTTGATATTCTCCTTGGGTGTGACTACTTTGGGTTACATCCTAAGCAAGAAGAAGTACGATACGGAGACCATCTCAGTATTATGAGCGGTGAGTTGGGCATCTGTCTTCAAGGCACCCACCCGGAACTAGCGGAAGGAACTACGCGTAACTCGAATCTTATCAAGAAGATTCATGCAGTAAACGTCAAAGTTGAGACATACAAAGTTCAGTGCGAGACACACCCCCAATTCAAGTTCACTCCACCTTCATGCCAAATCAGTCCTGATCAGTCATCATGCCACCCAACCAACAGCGTTCATCTTGTCATCAACAAACGAGATCTAATCGGACAGTTTATTGTTGGAGAAGAGCTTGGCACAGAAACCAACCCACGATGTGGTGGATGTCGATGTGGTAAATGTCCTATTCTAGGGCTACATATTCGTTTAAAGAAGAGCAAGAACTGAAAGTGATTAGAGAAAATCTGGAGTATGATGAATTCAATAAATGCTGGGTAACCAGCTATCCTTGGACTGTAGATCCAAAAAGTCTACCTGACAACTACAACTCAGCTCTGGCTACGCTGAATAAAACGGAACGTACTCTCAAAAAGGACGAGTTATGGGCGAATACGTACAAAGACCAAATGGATGATATGGTTCAGCGAAAAGTGGCTCGAAAGCTTACGGCTGCTGAGATTCAGGAGTGGAACGGCCCTGTTTTTTACATATCTCACTTGGCAGTTGTCAATCCTAAGTCGAATTCTACTCCTGTGCGTATAGTGTTTAACTCCAGTCAGATCTACAAAGGGGTCTCCTTAAACTCCTGCCTGGCGAAAGGTCCCGATTGTTATATGAACAATCTTATTGGTATCTTGTTACGTTGGCGTGAAGAAGCTGTTGCATTAGTTGGCGATATAAAGAAGATGTTCAATTCAGTTTACTTGAAGGAATTGGAGAAACACTGTCACCGGTTTCTCTGGCGCAATCTCGAACCCGACCGGCCACCTGATGTATATGTAATGGAACGTGTCAACATGGGTGACACACCTGCACCAGCCATAAGCACAGAAGCTATCTACAAGACGGCAGACCGTTTCAAGGAAGACAGCTTAGAAGCAGCTGAGCTATTGAAGAAATCCAGTTATGTTGACGACCTTATTGATTCGCGTCCAACGTTGAGTTGTGCTCTTAAAATCGCGGAAGACACGGAGAGGATGCTTGCGAAAGGCGGATTTTCAGTGAAATGTTGGCAAGTGAGTGGAGAGACAAAATCCCGTCCAAGTCTTGATAACGAAAGTCATCATGGAGTCAACAAAGAAGAGGAAATTAGCCAGAACACAAACATGTTGAAGGGAACTGAGTCCAACTTAAGAGTTCTCGGCCTTGGGTGGGATCCTGGAAGTGACACCTTGGTGTATGAAATTACGTTAAACTTCAGCAAGAAAAGGCGTGGGATTTGCGTTGGTCCGAATCTAAGGGAAGTTGATTTGCCAGCTGCATTGCCTGAAGTGCTGACTAAGCGAACTGTTCTCGAACAAGTAATGAAGATCTACGACCCTCTTGGGCTTGTGTGTCCATTCACATTGTTAGCAAAAGTACACTTGCGTGAATTGTGGTTACGAAAGCTTGACTGGGATACTGCGCTTCCAGCAGATCTTAGCGCTAAATGGGTTCGATTTTTCACCTCGTTGTTTAAACTCGAACAGTTGCGTTTCCCACGTTGCTTACGACCCGAAGATGCCGTTGGTCGTCCGTGGCTCATAATTCTAAGCGATGGTAGTGACTTAGCTTATGGTTACGCCGCTTACATCAGATGGTGCTTACAAAGTGGACAATATTGGTGTCGATTAATTATGGCCAAATGCAGGATCGCACCGGTGAATAAATTATCTACACCCCAAATGGAACTTAATGCTGCAGTATTGTCGAAACGAGGGAGAAAAGTAATCGAATCCGAGATGCGATTTGATTTCGAAAGAGTGTTGCAACTGGTTGACTCGGAAACCGTCCTGAGTATGATCAACAAAACGAGCACTAGATTTAAAGTGTATGAAGGAGTGAGAATTGGAGAAATTCAAGCTGCAACTGACGGCGACCTGTCGTCCTGGGCGTGGATGTCTGGCGAGGACAACACGGCAGATTGGCTTACGCGTGGTCGGTCTCCAGACGAATTAGCTGAAGATTCTCAGTGGTGGAATGGACCACTCGTGTTGTATCGACCTATCGAAGAATGGGGTTTGAAATTTGGGAGCCAAAGAAATGACGTTCTGCCAGGAGAAAAGAAAATTCGTTATACTGTGACAACTACTACCAGTCCCTCTCTCGTAGACTATTCAAGATCGAGTGATGTGAACAGAGTCATATGGGTCATCGCAAGAATTCTCAGCATTGCTAAGAATAAGTCATTTCGCGGAGGAAATACCTTATGCATTACGGCACAGCTACTTCAAGAAGCTGAAGATTTCTTAGTGAAAAGCGTCCAAACGGAATTGAAAAGTGAAATGAAGAAAACCGATGCAAAGGGACGGAAAGGCGGACGTTTTGCTTCGTTAAATCCTAGTTGTGATGGACGTGGTTATGTTGTTGTTGGTCAGCGTATGAAGAACAAGAATCCCATGACGCCGGATGCATCGCTACAAAGATTGCTGCCTACTCGCCATCTCCTCACGAGATTGTTAATGAGACGTGCTCACATAGAAAGCGGACATCGAGGTCGTGATGCTACTCTGGCTCGATTTAGGCAGAAGTATTGGACAGCTCAAGGGAGCAAGGTCGCCCAGGCGGTGAAGAGTAAATGCCAGCTATGCAAGCTTCGTGATGCAATATTAGGAGAACAAGAAATGGGGCGATTACCGGAAGCTCGTTTGAAACCTGCTCCACCATTTACCTACACTATGGTCGATTTGTTTGGCCCTTACCTTGTTCGCGGCGAAGTTCAGAAACGTACCAGTGGTAAAGCATATGGAGTCATCTTCACCGATTTGATCTCCCGTGCGGTCCACATCGAAGCTGTTTACGGCTATGATACAAGTTCGTTTTTGATGGCCCTCAGCAGATTCGCAAGTATTCGTGGATGGCCCCAATACATCTACAGCGATCCGGGTTCGCAGTTGATAGGGGCAGAGAGGGAGCTGAAAGAAGCTTGGGCAAAGATTGATCGGGAAGATTTACATACGCAAGGCCTACGAAGTGGATTAACCTGGGTATTTGGATCAGCGGATAGTCCGTGGCACCAAGGAGCAGTGGAGTCCCTTGTGAAAGCAGCTAAAAGAGCGATTGTCTTTGCTGTGGGAAAAAGACGACTCTCAGTACCTGAGTTCCTGACCGTGTGTACGGAAGTTGCCAATCTCATCAACGAAAGGCCTATTGGAACCTTACCATCTATTGATTACGATCTGAATGTCCTGACCCCTAACAGCCTTCTGTTAGGACGCGCTACAGCTAAGAATCCTGGAGGATGGCAACCCTTCACGTACAGTCAACATCCTAGAACAAGATATCGCCTTGTGCAGGTAGCTGTGGAAGACTTTTGGGAAAAGTGGATACAACTGTATGCACCTACTCTGATTTTGAGAAGGAAATGGCATGTCAGCACACGTAATTTACGTCCGGGAGATGTGGTAATCGTCGCTGATAAGAACGTTATGCGGGGAGAATACCGTCTTGGTGTAATCAAGGACGTCTTTCCGGATTCAGATGGCAAAGTTCGTCGCGTTCTGGTGACTTACAAGAATTTTCGTGTAGGGAACAACCAACAAGAGTATGGTGTGAGTGAAGCAGTCACGGTTTCTAGGAGTGTTCAGCGCCTCGCATTGCTTGTGCCCGTGGAAACAGAAGATAATGAACAGGAGACAAATAAATGAACTTCTAAACGAACGTGATAAACATTATTGACATTTTGTTTGTTGACAGTACATCGCATCGACCTCATCCCCCCGGTGTACTGGTATAGTCAACATTAAGTAGACATTTCGATACGATGTTACATTAAGTATTAAGTAAGAACTAGAACTAGAGCCTAGGATAGAAGAACGTGGTTCGTACGTTTTGAGGGAGAAATTAAGCACAGTGTTTTACGGCAGTCGTCGGGTTTTAGATCGTTTTGTTAAAATAGTAGAAAGCGAAATAAAGTTTTAGAGTATAAACATCGTTGTGTTCAAATCTTAAGACGATTGTGTGTTGAAGCAAAATCTCCGAGGAACGTACCAAAACACATCCATAATAATCCATAGGCCTCCATTACGCTCTATAGTCATCCATATGTCTCAATAGGCCATCCATAGCCTTCCATAGGCCTCCAGAGTCAACCACACCTCTCCATAAACCTCTATAGGCCTCCATAGCGATCCATAGGCCATCCATAGCCTTCCAGAATCTTCCATAGGCCATCCATAGCCATCCATAGGCCACCATAGGCCTCCATAGCTATCCATAGGCCTCAATAGCTATCCATAGCTATCCATAGGCCTCCATAGGCCTCCATAGCTATCCATTGGCCTCCATAGGCCATCCATAATAATCCATAGGCCTCCATTACGCTCTATAGTCATCCATAGGTCACAATAGGCCATCCATAGCCTTCCATAGGCCTGCATAGTCAACCACACCTCTCCATAAACCTCCATAGGCCTCCATAGCGATCCATAGGCCATCCATAGCTTTGCAGAGGCCTCCATAGGCCATCCATTGCCATCCATAGGCCACCAAAGGCCTCAATAGCTATCCATAGGCCTCAATAGCTATCCATAGCTATCCATAAGCCTCCATAGGTCTCCATAGGCCATCCACAGCCATCCATAGGACTCCATAGGCCTTACATAGTTATCCATAGGACTCCATAGCGCCCAATAGCCATCCATAGGCCTCAATAGCCATCCATAGGCCTCCATAGGCCATCCATTGCTATCCATAGGCCTCCATTGCCCGCTATAGCTATCCATAGGCCATCATAGGTCATCCATAGCCTTGCATAGGCACCACAGCCATCTATGGCCATCCATAGGCCTCCATAGCCGTCCATAGCTATCCATAGGCCTCCATAAGCCTCCATAGGCCATCTATAGCCTTCCATTGCCATCCATAGGCCTCAATAGCCGTCCATAGCCATCCATAGGCCTCCATAGCGATCCATTGGCCTCCATAGGCTATCCATAGCCATCCATAGGGCTCCATAGCCCTCCATAGCTGTCCATAGCAATCCATAGGCCTCCATAGGCTATCCATAGCCACCGATAGGCCTCCATAGGCCTTCATAGCAATCCATAGGCCTCCATAGGCCTCCATAGCTATCCATAGCCATCCAAAGGCCTCAATAGAACTCCATAGTTATCCATAGGCCTCCAGAGCAATCCATAGGCCTCCATAGGCATCCATAGCTATCCATAGGCCTCCAAAGGCAATCCATAGCTATCCATAGGCCTCCATGGCTCCCATAGCCATCCATAGGTCCCCATGGGTCATCCATAGCCTTCCATAGGCCATCATAGTAATCTATAGCCATCAAAAGGCCTCCATAGCCGTCCATAGATATCCATAGGCCTCCATAGGCCATCCATAGAAATCCATAGCTATCCATAGGCCCCCATAGCTCATCCAGAGCCTTCCATAGGCCACAATAGTCATCCATAGTTATCCATAGGCCTCCATAGCCGTCCATAGCTATCCATAGGCCTCCATAGGCATCCATAGGCCATTTATAGCCTTCCATTGCAATCCATAGGCCTCAATAGCCGTCCATAGCCATCCATAGGCCTCCACAGCGATCCATAGGCCTCTATAGAACATCCATAGCTATCCATAGGCCTCCATAACCCACCATAGCCATCCAAAGGCCCCCATAGGTCATCCGTCGCCTTCCATAGCCAACCATAGCCATCCATAACCATCCAAAGGCCTCCATAGCCGTCCATAGCTATCCATAGGCCTCCATAGCGATCCATTGGCCTCCATAGGCCATCCATAGCCAACCATAGGGCTCCATAGCCCTCCATAGCCGTCCATAGCCATCCATAGGCCTCCATAGGCTATCCATAGCCATCCATAGGCCTCCATTGGCCTCCATAGCTATCCATAGCCATCCATAGGTCTCAATAGCTATCCATAGCTACCGATAGGCCTCCATAGGCCTTCATAGCAATCCATAGGCCTCCATAGGCCTCCATAGCTATCCATAGCTATCCAAAGGCCTCCATAGGCCTCCATAGTTATCCAAAGGCCTCCAGAGCAATCCATAGGCCTCCATAGGCATCCATAGCTATCCATAGGCCTCCAAAGGCAATCCATAGCTATCCATTGGCCTCCTTGGCTCCCCATAGCCATCCATAGGGCCCCATAGGTCATCCATAGCCTTCCATAGGCCATCATAGTAATCCATAGCCATCTAAAGGCCTCCATAGCCGTCCATAGATATCCATAGGACTCCATAGGCCATCCATAGAAATCCATAGGTATCCATAGGCCCCCATAGCTCATCCAGAGCCTTCCATAGGCCACAATAGTCATCCATAGTTATCCATAGGCCTCCATAGCCGTCCATAGCTATCCATAGGCCTCCATAGGCATCCATAGGCCATTTATAGCCTTCCATTGCAATCCATAGGCCTCAATAGCTATCCATAGCTATCCATAAGCCTCCATAGGTCTCCATAGCCATCCATAGGCCTCCATAGGCCATCCACAGCCATCCATAGGACTCCATAGGCCATACATAGCCTTCCATAGGACTCCATAGCGCCCAATAGCTATCCATAGGCCTCAATAGCCATCCATAGGCCTCCATAGGCCTCAATAGCCATCCATAAACCTCCATAGGCCATCCATTGCTATCCATAGGCCTCCATTGCCCGCCATAGCTATCCATAGGCCCCAATAGGTCATCCATAGCTTTCTATAGGCACAATAGCCATCCATAACAATCCATAGGCCTCCATAGCCGTCCATGGCTATCCATAGGCCTCCATAGGCCAACCATAGCCATCCATAGGGCTCCATAGCCCTCCCTAGCCGTCCATAGGTCAACCATAGCCATCCATAGGGTATTCATAGCAATCCATACGCCTCCATTGGCCTCCATAGCTATCCATAGCCATCCATAGGCCTCCATAGCTATCCATAGCTGCCGATAGGCCTCCATAGGCTTTCATAGCAATCCATAGGCCTCCATAGGCCTCCATAGCTATCCATAGCCATCCAAAGGCCTCCATAGCCTCCATAGTTATCCATAGGCCTCCAGAGCAATGCATAGGCCTCCATAGGCATCCATAGCTATCCATAGGCCTCCAAAGGCAATCCATAGCTATCCATAGGCCTCCATGGCTCCCCATAGCCATCCATAGGCCTCCATAGCCATCCATAGATATCCAAAGGCCTCCATAGGCCATCCATAGAAATCCATAGCTATCCATAGGCCCCCATAGGTCATCCACTGCCTTCCATAGGCCACAATAGTCATCCATAGTTATCCATAGGCCTCCATAATCGTCCATAGCTCTCCATAGGCCTCGATAAGCATCCATAGGCCATCTATAGCCTTCCATTTCCATCCATGGACCTCAATAGCCGTCCATAGCCATCCGTTATCCTCCATAGCGATCCATAGGCCTCCATAGGCCATCCATAGCCATCCATAGGCCTCCATAGCCCACCATAGCTATCCAAAGGCCCCTATAGGTCATCCATCGCCTTCCATAGGCCACCATAGCTATCCATAACCGTGCATAGGCCTCCATAGCCGTCCATAACCATCCATAGGCCTCCATAGGCCATCCATAGTCATCCATAGCTATCCATAGGCCTCCATAGGCCTCCATAGCTATCCATAGTCACCGATAGGCCTCCATAGGCCTTCATAGCAATCCATAGGCCTCCATAAGCCTCTATAGCTATCCATAGTTATCCATAGGCCTCCATAGGTCTCCATAGCTATCCATAGGCACTCCATAGCTATCCAAAGTCCTCCATAGCTCTTCATAGCTATCCATAGGCCCCCATAGGTCATCCATAGCCTTCCATAGGCCACAATAGCCATCAAAAGCTATCCATAGGCCTCCATAGCCGTCCATAGATATCCATAGGCCTCCATAGGCCATCCATAGCCATCCATAGCTATCCATAGGACTGCATAGGCCTCTATAGCTATCCATAGCTCCCGATAGGCCTCCATAGGCCTTCATAGCAATCCATAGGCCTCCATAGCTATCCATAGCCCTCCATAGGCCTCCATAGGTCTCAATAGCTCTCCATAGGCCTCCCTAATTATCCATAGGCCTCCATAGGCCTCCACAGCCATCCATTGGCCTCCATAGGCCATCCATAATAATCCATAGGCCTCCATTACGCTCTATAGCCATCTATAAGTCTCAATAGGCCATCCATAGCCTTCCATAGG